TTTTTTTCTTTTAGCTCCCCAGTAAAGCCCAAGCGGGGTAGTTGCGATCGTTGGTTGCCCTTTTTCCACTCGGGTTTGGAAGGGTTCCAGTACATTTTGTTTGGTCAAAATGCAGGCCCCCGGGGGGGTTTTCAGTAAGTCTCTTCCCGGAGTTTTTAAGGAGGTTTTTGGTTTTGGAGCTCTTTTTTGGGTGGGTTACCCCGGGGGGTAGGAATTCTTCAGGGGCTTTTTTTAGTTTCCCCCCCCCCCCCCCGCATCTCTGTGACTTCTATTGAGTTCTTGCGGAAGCAGTGTGTAAATTCTTCCCGGCGGCTTGTAATCAGATGAGTCCACAAAGAGGGAGACGGGAGGTCGGGTTCATCGCGCCAATATTCAAGCCTCGAAGGTATTTTTGATTATACTGATATATTTTTGAGTTTTACACTTTGTTCAGCCAACTTGGCTATGGATCTGTTATTGCTGGATTGCTGAACTTCTGACGCGGTCGTGCTGTTGTTGCAACACTCGTTATATTCCATGTCTGTTTGTATTTGAATGAGCTTTGATGTTTAGCTAGAGCTTCCGTTCTATGCGCTTTGCTCTCGTTGGAAATGCCTGTACATCTTTGCGCAGTTCTTGAAACCGTTTTTATTTCGAGATACTCAGTGCATTTGAGATCGCCTTAAATTTACATTCGGAACATTTTAATATTAGTGAACTCTATTCATCTACCGTACCGACGTTCCATCTATTTGTACAGGCCGTTGCAGATATCATTCGAACAACCCTGGGACCTAGGTCTATGTTAAAGATGCTCCTCGATGCTAGTGGAGGTAATTTTTTATTTTTATTTATTTACTGAAGCTTTGAATGCTCTTCTTCATTAGTAATCGCTACGTTGATATCCTGTAGGTTTCAACTGTGGAGTCGTTTCTTACAGCGTATTTCTTGCTGTCGCAATACTTGATGAAAGCGTTTCTGACGATCCTAGTTCACTTTGCAGGAATCGTACTCACTAATGATGGAAATGCAATTTTAAGAGAGCTTGATGTGTCGCATCCTGCTGCTAAGGTTAGCACTGATGGCTCTGAAAGCCTGGCTATGCAAAATCATCTTTTTGGGATGTTTTAGTTTATAGTTCATAGTTTTGTGAATGATGATGTTGATCTTCAACTTTTTCTGTGCAGTCCATGATAGAACTCAGTCGTACGCAAGATGAAGAGGTTGGTGATGGAACTACGTCAGTGATTATTTTAGGTGACTTTCTCACCCCTTCTTCAGAACATGACCATTCTTTGTAGTTATTTTAAACATCACTAGAGCTCAGCATATGCAGTGGTTACGGCTTGTGTAATGACCATACGTGGTTCCTGAGAAGTGAGCAATAAGCATATTTATAATCAGCTATATTTGTTTATCTCTGAGCTTTGGGTTCTGGTTGAGCATACCTTGAAGTAAATGCCTTGCATTTGCCTTCGCCACAACTTTCAGGACTTGCGTATTTAATTCGGCCTTTTGGCTGGTTGATTGGTTTGTTTGTTTGTTTACTTTTTGTCGCAGCTGGTGAGATGCTCTACGTCGCTGAACAGTTTCTTGATAGGCAGTTCCACCCCACTGTCATATGCCGAGGTTCGTACGCTGAAACTATGGTCTCTTGATTTTCTTCTTGGCTATACTTCACAATTGATTAGTAATCGATGCAGAGAATGGGTTATGGCAATGCTATTATTCATCCTTCTAGTCGTATCTTGCAATGGTGACCTACAGAAGATAAAGTTAATGTGTGAAAAAAACTCAGCTTTTTGAATTCCTGGAGACTTCACGAGAGGAGATGCATATCTGCTGTATCTGGCGAGCACGGTTATCCATGATTTACTGTTGAACTCATTCTCAAGATCTACGGCGATCTTTTCTTATGTGCAGCTTATACTAAGGCTCTGGAGGATGCTGTTGCTGCTTTGAAAGATATTGCATTCGACATTGATGTCACCGACCGTAAGTGCCTTTTGAGTTCACCCTCTTTATTCCGGAACTGGTTTGGCATTGCTGAGAGATCTTAGAAGTTGGTGGACCTTCAAAATGACAGAGTTTCTGGCTTTTTCTTGGGTTCCAACTCGTTTTCTGAGATAACTCAAAATTCCTATACTGAAATCATCTAATTTATTTTCAAGCCTAGATCAAATTTTATTGGTCTAATTATGCGTTTTCTATATGCGCAGGTTCGATGATGCTGAATATTGTGAGGAGTTGTATTGGAACAAAGTTCACTAGTCGTTTCGGAACTCTCATTGCCGTAAGTTCTCAAACTGGGATGCGCGAAAAGTCTGTCAAGTCGACTTCCATAGTGTACTGATTTGTTACGTGCTTGTTGGTTTCATGTGACTGAAAGTGTTTTTCTGTCAGACATGGTTTTGTTGTTGATTTAACGTGCAGTGCTTGCGGCAGTGTAGGGTAATTTCTGTACTTACCAGTGTATAAAGGGAAGTTTATTTCTATATTTCTTCCAATGCAGGACTTGGCAATTGATTCAGTGAGCACTATATCCATTGACTTGGGGAATGGTCTCCGAGAGGTTGACATCAAGAAATACATCAAGGTCGAAAAGATCCCTGGAGGACAGTTGGAGGACTCACAAGTGCTCAAGGGAGTCATGTTTAACAAAGATGTGGTCTCGCCAGGAAAAATGCGACGGAAGATTCTAAACCCTCGTATCATACTTTTGGATTCTCCACTGGAATACAAGAAAGGAGAAAATCAGACCAATGCAGAGATTATGAAAGAAGAGGACTGGTAAAGCCATGCTTAAATCTTGTCAGTAGATTTTGTTTTTAGAAACCTATTGCTATTTGTGTATCCTCTCTGTTATTTGAAGTGCGGTTTATGTTTGTGTCCAATTCAAGATAATAATTTTGGATTCTACCGTAGTTTCTATTGCATTCCATACTGTATGTTGATTTGTATCAAGAACTGTCTGGACTGCTGTAAGACTTATGACACTGTCGGTGCATTATTTCGTCATCTTGTTTTATAGGCCTCCTTTTTGCTTGTTATATTGTGCAGGGCTACTTTACTGCGAATGGAAGAAGAGTATATTGAGCAGCTGTGTATTCAAATAATCAAGTTTAAGCCTGATTTGGTTATTACTGAGAAAGGATTGAGTGATCTGGCTTCACATTATCTCAGCAAGGCAGGCATCAGCGCAATTCGTAGGTTAAGGAAGACTGACAACAACCGTATTGCCCGTGCTTGTGGAGCCACTATTGTAAATCGGCCAGAGGAGCTACATGAGAGTGACGTCGGTACTCGTTGTGGCCTTTTCGAGGTTAAAAAGATTGGAGATGAATACTTCTCTTTCATTGTTGATTGCAAGGAACCAAAGGCTTGTACAGTATTGCTAAGAGGGCCGAGCAAGGATCTTCTGAATGAGGTGGAGCGCAACTTAGCGGTGAGATAATGATTTAGAACCGCTGTGAAACGTCTCTTTCTTTAATCAGTCTGTCTCAATTGATTCTGACTTGATGGCTTTTTCATACCGTGTCTCCTTCTGTTTACGAATGTTTACTTGGTCATGGATTGACACGACAGGATGCCATGGGGGTAGCTCGCAATGTTCTTAAGGACGCGAAATTAGTCCCCGGTGGAGGAGCCTCAGAAATGGCTGTTTCTTCTATATTGAAGAAAAAGAGCATGTCAATTGAAGGTGTCGAGCAGGTTCGTAAATCTAGTTTTGTGTGCAAATCCTGCCTTTGTGTTGCATATATTATCACTACGATCTGAGCGGTAGCATTATTTATGGTCGATGTTGCACAGTAGAAACATCTCATTGGATTTTAATGTATGTAGGGTCTTAAAACCTTGTGATTCTGAACGTGTTGTGGTTGATTGCAGTGGCCTTACAGGGCAGTGGTACAAGCTCTTGAAGTTATTCCTCGAACTCTAGCTCAAAATTGCGGTGTCAATGTGATCCGTACCATGACCGCCCTTCAAGCTAAGGTTCGCTCTCCCTTCATACAACTTGTGTATGAAGTAGGCTCATGTTTATTTCTGTAACTTCTTTCTCTCTTCGTTCATGCCTCGTTGCTGTCTTTATATTTTGGAACTGGAAACCACATTTTTCTATTACTTTTTGAAGATGTTGAGCACCGATTCCGAGAATGTCCGAATGGGGGTAGTAAGAGTTTTTAAGTCCGTATACATTTTTAATCACATAGCAACGTTTGTTTGCAGCATGCTAATGGCGAAAATCCTATGGTCGGCATCGATGGCAACACTGGAGAAATCACCGACATGAAAGAGCTTGGAGTAATGTCCTGTTACCCTGATGTACCCTTCAGCGTACATATGTTAATTAAATAAGTATATGTTTATTACCTTATTGATTCAGAGCACAGTTTTGTAATGAAGGATGGGAAGGAGTGTAGTCTACTTATCTGATGTCCAATCTGAGTATTTCTCATACTCAGTGCACTGGATTTGTTTTGACTAAGCAGGTTTGGGACTCGTACGGAGTGAAGCTACAGACTTTCAAAACAGCAATCGAAGCTGCCTGCATGATTTTGAGAATTGATGACATTGTCAGTGGTATCAAGAAGAAGCAAGCTCCTGGATCCGGACCCAAGCAGCCGGTAACATCAACTGGAGAAGATGTTGACAGTGAGCAAATGATTCCGGAGTAGGTAGATATGGTTGCATCTAAAAGTACACTAGAGGTTTCTGTTATGCCATTAGATTGATTTACATGGATCAGCAACACCAAGAATTAACTGTTGGCTCATCCAAATCAGTATGTTAGGGGCTGCTATCTCTCACGTCAATGCTGGTTACAAGAGGGCTAGTTTTCAAGGATGGAACTTCCACCACCCCTTTTTTGCTTAGAGTGCTCTGTACATTCTTTTTAGAGACCTTCATATGGAGCAAGGAAAGCGGTGGATGATAAACGTTAAAGGCGGTATGCAGGGCTTCCTTTTCATCAGCCATAGCAGGAATTTAAATTTTTTGTCAGGGAGCTGGCTCGAATTTTCAGAGTACTGTATTTAATGTGTGGAAGGGGACTTTTTCGAATTCATCTGATGCCAAAGAGATAACTTGTTTTGCCCAGGTTAATGGTTTACTTGTCCGTTGATTATGGTATGATGCGTGTTTAGGCCATCAATCTTGTGACTGATTTTTATTACCTTTCAGGGTTAAATCCTGAGAGCTGGAAGCTGTCCATCATTGAAGAGCCACATCGTGAGTTGGCCCACATTTGACACACGTTTATTTGAGGACCATTGGAAATTCCTTGAGGCATGTAGAAATCTAATCAAGGGATGTTGACATGTAAGTAAGTGAGGTGATTTTTGTAAGTCACTAATTAGATTTCCCATTTATAAATCCTGCACTCTTACACTAACTATCTAGTTGACAATTTTTTTCACTCATGCTGGTTTTAAAGGTCCCCTAAGTTTATCCAACATTTGTGGCAAATGTATGCTTTCATCCAATTTTGGTCCACAATGATTTATGGTTTTGATGTATGAGCATCTGATGTGTAAAATTCACCTCTGAAATAGTTCATAACACTGGGCAGTTAGAGGTTATTTTGAATGTGGTTGATGTACTGTAGTTTAATTCTAAGTCGTACGCATTAGTATTCATGTACTTATGTGTTGTTACTTTGCTCTATTTTCATCCACCCCGTTGTTTTTACACATTGAGTTCAACGTATTTTCACGCTAGAATTTGGAGTTTTTCGAGTTGGATTATTATCACTATAATTGTTATATATATTTTTATTTTTTTGGTGGATATGGTGTGTGCTTTGCATGTACTATGGTATGAGGTGGTTTGCTTTAGAGGTGTAATGGGTGCTACAAAAGAATATTTTAGGGGGTTCTTAGACTCAAAAGTCCTCTTTGAAAAACCATGGTTTAAAAGTCTCATAAAGGTTTTCTACTTGGGGAAAAAAAGTTGCATTTACAAGTTAGTCATTGGAGATAGTTTAAAGTAATGTAAACCTACAACAGAAAGAAATCATTCTTTCATTATGATTCTAAGTATGATAGCTCAAATGATAATTATGATAATTATGGAAAATACACAAAAAATAATTTAATTGTAAAACAATATTTATGATAAAATTTGACAGAGTTCCTTATTATTATCATCATCATAAAAACAGCCTTCTGAAGGTGGGCATAACACAAATTTTGGTAGATAGCTCTATTCATGCTTTATTTTTTTTTTATATATATAAATATATATATATATATATATCATTTATTTATTGTTTATATGTTCTTGGTTTTTGAAGTCTCAACATTTGGAGATAATACAAAGTGAGAAGAGACCACAAAATAGATCAATCTATTTTAAAATATTATAACATTAATTATATAAGCTCATGTCTTGAGTCCAGTAGTCATTTAAAATATTATATATATACATACTCTTTGAATAAGTTTATTTTTTTATTTATTATTAATTTATTAATTTATTATTTTTAATAAAAGAAACAAATATTAATTCCATATGTATAGAGTAATTAATATAACATAGTGTTATTTTACTAAAAATTGATCAAACATACAGACAATTGCAATTCTACCAAGCTTAAGAGTCACTAAACCTCCCGAAGATTGTAGATTAGATGCACTAAATGTTTAACAAATAGGACATACTTTGTGCTACAAGGATGTTGCCTCCACTTCCCTTGCTAAGAGGAAAGATGGTCTAATTAATGATTGCCTATGTCTCCCTTTAGAACCCCCGCACGAGCTATTATTAGTGGCAAGCAAGGCCACCAAACTTTGTCCATATTCAAGAGATAAGAATACAAGACTAATAATTTTAACACATTTTAATAAGACTTCTTGAATTTTTGTAGAAACCATCTCTTTAAGATGTGTCTATGGAAAATTCCAAGAAACAACAATATTTATGCTATTTAGAAAATAAAACATTTTAGTTCAATTTTTTCTTTAATAGATTCCTAGGTTGTTCTTTAAAAGATTCTAAGTATACATCCAATTAATTGATGTCTTTTAATTTCAACCAATTACAAGTTTTGGCCTCTCATCTTCTTTCCAAATATAAAGACTCTATTAATGTTTGTATTTTACATGTGGGTAATATATGACCTATCAAAAGTCATCAGGTCATAATAATACTTCTTGCTATTAAATTTATGCAATTAAGTGTCTTATCTAGTTGGATATAATTTTGATGATTTGGACTTTGTGTTTGATTCAAATTTATCTTTTTATAGGAATAAGTTATGAATCCTAATTTTAGAATTTGGTGTAGTAAGTATTGGATACCAAAATCTAAATAAATAATGATAATTTGACAAGAGTATCATGTTAAAAATTACTTTTAAAAAAATTCAAAATCAACTAAAATAGTGATTTAAAGATTGTTTTTACTGTGATTGGGTCTGTTTTCAGGGAGTTTGATTTAACCTTTTTAATTATATGTTTTGAATATTGTGCTTTTGTATCTTAATCCATAATTTATTTGATATAATATTTTATTAATTTCATAGATGTGAGGCATCTGTAAGAGTGTTGACCAATGACAATCATTTTAGAGGTGTTGTTGTGAAAGATTGTGACACTTAATACAGACAACAAAGAAAAAAACAAATACATGAAAGACACAATAACATACACAGGTGAGCTGAAATAAACCTGAAAAACACACAAGTTAAAGTGTAGTGACTGGATGTTCATGTTCTATAATTTTGACCTTCACATATAACAGCACAAAAACTATCCCAAGACAAAAGAATAAGACCACCTTCTATGTTAATGCACGAGAACAAATATTTATGATGGAGGAGTTTAATTTAACCATGTTTGTAAGCACATTACTTCTATGGTTTTTATCATTACTGGTTTACAAAAATGACAAAAATTAACATCATTTCAAAGACCAATACAAACACCACCAATGGCTCGCACCCATTTCTAGTTTAGTTATGTTGTTCAATTCCTACTACCAATCTCACAACCGAAGACATTGTCATAGGTCCTACACAGGTACTGCATACTTGCCCAGCTTGAACACGCTCTACAGACTCCCCTTGGAGCACACTCGACCCAATAAATGGCACTCAATTACAGTCATTGAATAAAAAACCAGACCCAGTAACCAAGTTTAATATATCGGTCGGAGAAGCATTTCCTTTAAACCTCTCAAGGAGAGACACCCACTTCTGCTGGCCCATGAATGTCGATCGCTCTGTCTCCGTCCCTCGGCTCCATCCTCAAGAACGCTAATGTGCTTTATGAGTCTGCGCAGCTGTTGACAGAAGCACAAGCTCCCACAGTACTACGAATTGGAGCTTGAGTGGAATCAGAAACCACACCAGCACCTAGGAAGCAGAGAAAGCGGCAAGCACTGCGACGTATACAAGTGATCTTGGCGACCTTGAGGACGGAGCTGGGGATGGGATGGACGTTCTTGTAGGGGCAGAAGCGGGCAGGGCTCCCCGAGAAGTTAGATGTAGGGTGTTAAACGAGCCATATGAATCCTTTCGAAAAGATGCCAGTCGGTTTTATTTTTGTCGGTGTCGGCCGGTCAACGCTTGTTTCGGCAAGTCATTCATGTCGATCGAAAGAAAAATGACTCCCGTTGCGTTTCGGTAGAAGTTGTGGAGATGTTGCAGCTTTTTTGTTGAGTATAGGATCCGATTCGGTTGGAGTGGGATGAAGGGGTGAGAGGAGGCCATGGTTGTGACACCTTGGCTGGAGGAGCTTGCAGCTTGTTGTCGGTGCTGGTCGTTGTTAGGAGACAACGTGGGGCCCGCGTTGTGATATCCGCAAGATATTATGTGTTTGTGAGTGTTTTGGTCTTCTTCGTGTCTTACCCACGAGACGCTGGATGGGTCAGGGATCAGATCCAAGGGAGACGACGAACAAGAGAGATTTCTTGATTCTTCACGCCGATTCTTCCATGCAACTGGCGGTTTCATGCCTCGCTCCTCGAGCTTGTGCTTCGACCTTTGAAGCTCTCGAACGAAGTTGTTTAGGCACTGAATTCTTTGCGGCTGAGGGCGTTCCAAAGCTTGGCAGCGTTTCAAAGATCTGCCCAGTGTTCGACAAACAATTATGTGAAATCGATTTTTATCGTGAAAAAAAACTTTTGTGACACGTCGCATGAGAATATTTTCATTTTGAATGTATGTCAATATATATATATATATATATATATATATATTATTAACATAAAACATGATAAATTTGATACAAGTGAAATGAAACCTTAACCATTCTTTATTGTAGTTTTATTTTTTCTATATAAACGCAACCTTGGAAAGTGGAAAAGTTGGATTTCAGGAGCTGAGTTCTTATAGCACTTCATTTTAGTTAGGAAATTCTAAGAAGAGTGGATCTTCAGGTCATTTTTAGGAGGGATTATTAGTGGTACTTTTGGAAGAAGATTTCTTAATAATTAAGTTAGACAAAATAACTAGTGAATACGATTTGTAAGTGTGAATGCACCACTAATTTCGACAATTTTAACCTAGGAAGCATTGAAAATGCAGAAGCTGGCTTGCTATGCGCAAGGGCCACTTGGTGACATGGGTCAATGCAATGAGAGCGCAGTCTCCGCCAGGGTTTGCTCTACGAATGAACAAACTCCCGTAACAGTTGACATGGAGGCAGTGGCTTGCAGCACGTGGCTTGTTAGTACCGTTATTGATTTCATTATAGGTTATCTGTGCGAAAGCAAATCTAATTAATTGGGACCACGAACATTTGTATTCACATGTCTGTAGCTCCACTATCGAAGACATCGATTACATCTAGAACAGAAATGATCTGATCTGATCTTTTTGGTGTGAGAGTGTGCTTATCAGTAATCTTTAATATATGAAATATAGGACAAGCATCCATCAGCCATGAGCTTTTTCAAGAAAATGATGAAACTCACCAAAACCAAACAAATAGTTGTATTTCTGGACTTTGACGGGACCCTATCACCAATTGTCTCGAACCCAGAGTAGGCAATAATGACCCATGAGGTGGGGTAATCACTGTATCATCTGTGTCATTGGTTAACTACATTTGACAATTGAACTCTGATTGACTAATCAGGTCCTTCATGGGGATCAGTTAAAG